TATTGCATAATATTAAAATTTATCTCTGAACTGCATGTTCTGAGAGAGTCATATCAATTTGAGGCATCATGTTTGTTTCTATTTTCTTCTTTCTCGACAGCTGGTTCAATGGAATCTCACCGTCCCGTGCCAGCACTACCTGCACGTGTACACAGCCACCGACGAGGATGAGTTTCTAAATCTGGCGAGCCGACCCGAGTCGCGGTGTCGAGTTTCCCAGACCCCGGCTGACCCGAAGAACCACTACGTTCTTCAATGTAGTCCAGACTGGTACTACCAAGTTATACGCACTTGCAACGTGACGGGAAAATGGAAGGATTTTGACGAAGATGTGGTTACAGCGTGCTTAGCTTTGAAAGACCCAATTTATAAAGTTCAAATTCGAAGCGAGGGCTCTTCGAACGTCTTCAAAAATATATTTTGCGCCATATGTAACGCAGATGAACTTCCCGAATTTCGCACATCCTGTCGTAGGCGATTTCCAGCTGCTAGCATCTGGATAGACGAGTTTAATCCTCCGTTTTCATTACTGCTTGGGTTAAACAATAGATACGATCCAATGGGAAAAGAGTCACTTGGTGGAAACTGCAGTGAGCTTGAGTGGCTGAGCCCGGACGGAACCTGCGTCCCTCACAGGTGTAGCCCTGGCAAAACGATAATGGGAAGTGTTTGTTCAACTGCTCTCCCTGCAATCAGAGGTCTGGGGTACAGGGCTCGGTTATGGCTTATCCCTGAATATAGCACCAACGTCTCCTCTTATGGTGACGCCGGGGGCTCCTTTAAGACAGTCTTTTCAAGTGTTCTTGGTCGCCTTATGCCACAGGTCCTCAATATAATTACCCTTCACTTCAAAATGCACATTCTTCATTTTACCATTGGAGTTACAGAAAACAGAATTTCATTACCTCATACTGGTGAAGCTCCAACGAAAAGTACTCTCACATCTCCTCGTATACTATTTTGGATAGACCTGGAAGGAATCGCGCATTTTTCAACACCTAGGGATGTTTTTGAATCTCAGATGATCGAAAACCTTTTTGTCAAGTCTTTAAATGCGACACAAGGAAATGAGTCTAAATTTAGGGCAATACCCATGAATGTAGAACTTGATAGTAGAACATTGTGCAACTCTAGTGAAGACAAATTCTGTCTTACGAGAAACTTAAATGAGTACAGAATAACTAAGAAGATGACGCCATACACGGACGATAGAAAATTATTTCTAAATGTAAGCTTGGCGATGACATGCCGCTTTGTACGATTTAACAATTCCTTCTTCGAAATATCTGAGCACGAGAAGTATGATACACTGTTCAGAATTTATAAAATTACTTTGAAATTTAGACATAGCCGAAGTATAATTCAGGAGCCACATCACCTTCAGCTTGTATTTCTAGAAGAATCTGGCGAGCTTAGTGTGTGCGCAGAACTTTTAGATCACTTGACTTGGGAGATACCGAGTCCACCGTGGACTACTTTAGCTAAGTACATACTGACGCTCGTTTGCGTGAGTGTATCTCTGGTATGCCTCTTGCTCACTGTAATAACATATAGCTCTTTCCCCACTTTGCGAAGCGTGGCAGGTAAAAACAATATGTGTTTGTGCATTAGTCTCATCCTAGCTCAAACTTCTTTACTGGTCAGTTCCCACGTCAGGAGACCTCGGACTCTTTGTGTGGTAGTTGGGATTTTGACTCACTTCCTGTGGCTGACAATGTTCAGCTGGAGCTTCGCCTGCTGTCTCCACATGTTCAAGGTATTCACCTCCACTACGCGTGTCTCCGCGCTATCACAGAAAAGGCAGCTTGTCCACTTGATCAAAACCGTACTGTTTTGTTTCTCTGTACCAACCCTAATTGTGGCGTCAGTTGTTCTAGTATCGTATATCACAAGCAAAGGTCAAAGTATCGGATATGGCCAAGTTTGCTATCTCAATTCATCGCTTCTGGTTGGTCTCACAATGATTTTACCCCTCGCCGTTGTTCTTGTCTGTAACTTGGTTTTCTTCTTAGTCACTATTCTCAAAATCCGCAGTGTTAGAAAACTGCAACAGACAGAAAATTTCAAGAAAAGCGATAAACACAACCTGTATGTCTACGTCAAACTATCGTCCTTGACAGGCGCCTTCTGGCTTGTGGCAATCGTCGCCGAGGCAACCGCAAACGACCCTTTGATCTTCATTTCGATCATTCTCAACGGTCTCCAGGGTGTTTTTATTTTCTTCTCCTACATTTGCAACAAACGAGTTCTCCAGCTGTACCGTCAACGACTACGTTTGGGAGCCGAGAGCAGCACGTCTCAGTTGACGGGTCGGAGCACTCTTGCCCAGGAAGCGTCGGACGTGAGGCGCGCTCAAGAAACCATGTCATCAGCTGCTGAAGGATGGGACAAGCAACTTAACCAGGAGAGCACAGATGAGGCAGGCAAATTCCAAGAATAGTTTTCATTATAATTGTGATGCCTCATAATAAGTTAGGTGCACACGGATAGTCTGGCACAACAATCGTACACTGAAAACAGCATCCGACCAAGTTGAATGTATACGACACTACTGAATCATAACTTAAATTGCTCATCCTGAAGATTACCAAACTAATACATTCAAATAAGGAGACATAACTACGGCAATTAACAATAGTGAACCAAACACAGCCACTGCCCTTTTAACTAATTTTACAGGGATATATACTGAACGCCAAAAGAAACGCAAGTCATTAGTTTGGTCGATTTTCACCCTAAATTGTGTTGAAAAATATTTTTCAGATAAATACTAGTGCACGCTCCTGGGGTGTTTAGGTCTCCTGAGTGTAGCCTGTGAGTGCAGAGTAAAAAGTACTCAACTTAAGCTCACGAAAGTCAGTCAATGAAAAATTTTTGCTTTTAGCCCTGTGTGATTGAAAACAGAGATGAGTGAATTTTTTTCTTGATTAGTGTTCATGGCATATCAGGGTATTAAAAGACACACCACTACGCTTTGGCCAGTGAAGCAGTTGACCGCTAAGACGATGCCACGACTGAGCGCTGCAGATCGAGAGGGAGCCATTGGGCGTTTACAAACTGGAGACAGCCGTACTGACATCGATATTGCATTTCATGTGTCCTTTTCAACAGTAAGTAGGTTGTGGACACGTTTTCAAACAACTGGCAGCACCCAAGACTTGGCCAGAAGCGAAAGACCACGGGTCCCATCCGCACGTCAAGATCGACTGATTACGCGCCGTCATCACCGAGACAGCTTCCTGCCTGCAGCCGAAACAGCAAGGGGGACAATTGGAAACCACGGACGATCGATATCCGGCCAGACCATGCGGCAATGACTTCAGACCCGAGGACTCCAGTGCTGTTGTCCTGCGGTTGGCCCAGTCCTCACTATCCGCCACAGACAACAGAAGTTAGCCTGTGCCCAGCATCGGCTTCGTTGGACATGGAGGCAATGGAAAAACATTCTTTTCTCTGACGAGAGTCGATTCTGCATCAGCAACGCGGATACAAGAGTCAAAATCTGGAGGAGTAACGGCGAACACAAAGCAAACCTCAACACGATGGAAGCCGACGTCTGGGGTGGCCCTAGTGTCATGATCTGGGCTGCTATTGGACTAAATCACCAGGTCGACCCTTTCGTCTTCCGAAACCTCGGACGCAAGCGTGGAAATGGAATCAACGGCCAACGTCACATCAACATGGTACTAAGGCCGGCGGTCCTCCCCTATGTCAAGCAACATCAGTACTTGGTGTTCCAGCACGACAACGCTCGAACTGTGCCAAATGGACTATGCGTGTTGTGCATCCCTTCGTTTAAGAGTACTGTGACATTAATGAGTCGTTAAAAAATACCAGTCGAAGATGTTCGTCCATGCTCAATGAAAATCACATTTTCGAACGTAAAACATCTTAAAAATCCCACTACTGTTAACAATTTCAATAAAAATAACCTTTTCTACATCAGAAAACTATTTGCATTTCTTTTGGTGTTCAGTATATTACAATAATGTTTATCTATGATCGGCAGCTGATGTCAAACCACTATCAGCTCTGGGAACACTGAGATTTTTATAGAGCAGACCCCGCTTCTTAACTTTACGTTCAATAGAAAGTAAGCCGCAGTTTAATCTTTTTATGCACTTTTGACTACTACTACTACTACTACTACTACTACTACTACTACTACTACTACTACTACTGTTAGAATGTCATAAATACATTTTTTTTAAACATCCCCGAATTCCGGAAAAATAAAGTTTCGTTCTCTGGAGAGTGTTATGATGCCGATAAGTGGAAGAAAGCAGCAATTCAAAGAGTTGTCGACAACAACTCTACACGACATACAGAAAATAAATATGAATACCAAAACGTTCGAGCTGGGTACCTCAGTAGAGGAAAAGACAATGTTTTATACATCTCCAAAAAATAACAATCAGACACGAATCACCAATATTTAAAAACTAGTTTTAAAGTTTTCAGGAAGACGAGGAAATGAAACACACACAGAGAGAGAGAGAGAGAGAGAGAGAGAGAGAGAGAGAGAGAGAGAGAGAGAGAGAGAGAGAGAGAGAGAGAGGGAGAGAATGTTTTACAGAGCGGGTTGTCCCAGTACATGAGACATGTATTTACTTTAAATGTCCTGTCTTGTTGTGCGTATGCGTGAGTGCGCCTAACCTTTGTAACGTCTACTGCCAATGTTAACGACCAAGACAAATTTCTCCCTGAGAGATGAATAAAGATGGTCGTTGCCATTGTCATTGTCAAACATTATTTGGCACGTAGAGAGGCTTCTCTTATTTGTTTTTGATAGATGTGGTTTAAGGACAATGTTTCTAACAACAGTGTGAACGTTGATGGATTCCATCTAGTACGTTGGGAAAGAACGATAGGCTCAAACAAAGAACGAGGCGAGCCTTGTGTTTGTGTGTGTGTGTGTGCGTGTGTGTGTGTGTGTGTGTGTGTGTGTGTGTGTGTGTTTGTGTATGTGTGTGTGTATGTGTGTGTGTTTGTAAATATGTGTATGTATGTATGTATGTATGTTTGTATGTATGTGTGTATGTGTGTGTGTGTTTCTGGGGTAAGTGTTTTACGGCGCCTGCAACTGCATATCGTCATATGAGTGCGGAAATCCACATAGACATAATAAACGTCATAACTACATCTCTTTCGAAAAATTCCCCCAAAACCAGCAACACAGGTCTCCAAAACATCAACGTGAACAGAGACCAGCAGTACCTAAATGTCAACTCGAAGAGACTCACAGCTTGCATCTCGGATCTGGGCATACAGCCTTGGGTTAGGATCACACACCCAGTCAGATCATCAGACGATTACCCACAGAAACACTAATACTTCTACTAAACACTCTATGACATGTGGCAGTCGCATACCTTTCAGAGTCCTGGCGACTCGCCATTGCATTTCCATTTTAAAAACCAGGGAAAAACCATACCTGCAATAGGTCATAGTAGGATTTTTTTCTTTTTTGCAAAGGAATGGAGATAAACATAGAATTTAAATCATAATTATATTACTTTAATAAAAATTCAATATGAAGAGAAAAATAAAACCTGACCATAATAAACATCATATCAGATGCATCTTTCAACCACATGCAGCGATTTATCACGGACCTTTAGTGTTATACATGCATACATGCTCATTCGATTTACATTACGAGGTTTAAAAATGGACGGCAGAGCACATTAATGTTTATTTCGAGAACAGCCTTATTCCCGGAAGGTACGAAACTTCTTGTGTGTCTTTCTTTGTTCTTAGCGGTACGTATCTACGGTGGCGCGAATTTACAATTTGTGAGGAAAGTGTGTATGCGTCTGTGTGTGTTTATTAGTGTATGTATGTATGTATGTGTGTGTGTGTGTGTGTGTGTGTGTGTGTGTGTGTGTGTGTAATGAGTCGTCTATAATGCTGTTGATCTTATTTATTCTTTTGATCTTATATATTATTTCATCAGTGCTATTAAAATCATATCCAGAGATCTTGCTGGCTTTTTTATGATTCAGTCAAATTTCCTTTAACCTACAACATACAGTTTCCAGCCCAGAAGCAAAAACAAAACAGCAACACACTGTTCGATCATGGAATGTTAAAAAAAAAGGACATGATCGTATGATCTATATGGACAATTTTTTATTTTCTTAAAAAGAAATTCTTTGATATACTTTTCTATGCACACGAATAGCGTGGGGATACCATTCGTGCTTGTTGTCGATGTGTGTCACTCCAAGATATTTGTAGGAGTTTATAACTTTCACGTTCTCCTCTTTAATAAATAATGGTTGCAAATGTTCTGTTTAAATTCTAAAGCCTATAATGAGCTCATTTATCTTTTTTACATTTAATAAAAGGAAATAGTTATCACACCAATTTGTGAAGACATTTACAGTGTCCCTGTATTAACTTTCATTCTTTGTTATATAGCCTTGCAGAGTGGAATCATCCACAAATTAATCCACTTTGATGTTTATGTTACTAAAATCACAGTTGTTGGTGTAGAGAGTAAACAAGAAAGGGGAGATTACCCAACCTTGGGGCACACCGGTGTTCGTGAATGTTAGGTCGGATTTCACACCATTTAGTATTATATATTCAGAGCGATGTGTGAAGAACTTAAAAATCTTGTTTATATTCATGTTAATTAATTTTGAAACATTATGTGGGGTTGGATTTGTGGAAGACGGATGAAAAATCAGCAAAACGTATCCTGTAGTAACTTTGTGGTCTGTCTAAGTGTTCGTGGATGTTACCTAAGAACATGAGAATATCATCCTCTACGCCCCTCTTAGCACGATAAGCAAATAGCGGGGTATCCTGTATTATAATTGTCTGTGTGGTCACTTTGAATCGTCTCTTTTACGGTCGGCAGCTGGAGGGAGAAGTCGTGGTTGTCAAAATGAGCAAAAAATAGAATTCAGTTTGTTGATAAACTGACTAGGGTTTGTGTCGTGGACTGAAATATTTGTCCGTCTTGGTTTGTTGCCAACAATAGTTTTTAAAGATTGCCAAGTCATTTTTGTGCTGATCTAGTCTGATTTTGTAGGCATGTTTGCATTCTCTTATTTTTTCTTTAACATGTTTATATAATTCTCTGTTTTTAGCTTATTTTGGTCTTTCAGAGTGAATGTCTTTTTCAATTCATTTAATTATTTCTTTTAAGTTCTCGATTACACATGGCTTCTTCACAAAACCTTATGCAATCAAAGACCGTCTCACATAATTAATCTATACTTTTACATGTCTTTTTTTCACTCTAGATGGAGAAAACTTTTAAATTGGCTTTAACGACTTCAATTTAGTTTTGCACTTTGGTAATAACAGAGACATACATTGATGTTGGAGGTAGAGAGATTTTTTTGGCACATTTAATTAACACAAGTCAGTAATTTATTTTCTCACTCGTTGGTAATTTTACATTTGATGGAAAAGAGGGAAGGTTGAAGTAAAAGAACAGTTATTAAAATTCCCAGTGATAATTATGACACTTTCATGATAAAAAGACTGTTGCTGACGAATTGCTTGCGGCAAATTTAACATTGGCTTATGATGGAATGTAAGCAATGCTGGCTGTTATCTTCGGAAATTCCCTAGACATGCAATGTCAGATATTATTATGCATAGCTGAAGTTTCACAGGAGCATTATTGTGACTGCACCACCGATCGTTCACAAACACACACACACACACACACACACACAC